AGGTTTTCACAGCGGCGAGTTTGAAGATTTCTGTCTTCTGGGTTGTTGCGCTGTGTAGTCTGGTCGATGTTTACCAACGTTTCAGAGGTCATACTGCCTCCGTCATCAGGGCGATGAGTATGAAGATTTCTGTCTTCTGGGTTGTTGCGCTGTGTAGTCTGGTAGATGTTTACTAACATTTCTGAGGTCAAACATCGACCAGACTACACAGCGCAACAACCCAGAAGACAGAATTCGTCACCCTTACGGAAATCCAATTCCTATCTTTAAAAGCTATGTATCGAAACGTATTTTAACTTTTTTATCTCATATATTTCTCTGTGATCTAAGTGAGAGTTTTCAAAGATGCTTTCCTATCAAAGTCTTGTCTGCAGTCGTTCAAAAAGTCCGCACTACCCGTTAAACCCACCAGCACAATTAATAACAAGACATTCTGCTGGACACGATCCTGAAAATTACCAGGTAGCCGATACAAATCACGAAGTTCCACGTTGTGTATTATTTTTGACCTGCATACCTGGTATCATTGCCAGTTACAAATATTTTTTGTGAGCTCTTTATCGAAAGCACCTGCAATGCATGTTCTTCCTTAAGATAAGAGACACGTTTCACGCCCATACAAAAACAGACAAAAGTGTTGTTTTAAACTACACGCACGCACACACACGCATATAGACACAAGTATTTTTAGAAAACTACGTATGATGATAACAATATCTGAACTCAATAATAACAGGCATTCAAAAAATTAACTTCGTCTTATAGTCACGAGCTAATTTGTTTTTATTTTTTTTACTGCGGTTTACCCATGTAAACTGTAGCATGATTATATTATAATGTTACTTTATTATTAACGAAGGTACTTGTTAGCCAATGTAACTGTTTAGAGATAGTTATACCAGTGAAGTTCACCATTCCTGCAGATACAATATTAAACCTTTGTATTAATATTACTCGTATGTTATTTATTTTATTTTATAATTAAATTGTACTTGGTCTTGTTAAAGTTTCATACCGGCTATTATGAACTACGAGACGATCCCCGTATTATGGCAACGCTACCTACAATACACATAAATAACATAAAATTAAATTATTTTTACCATGACTCACACTATCGCACAACTTATTAGGTGGTTATAGAGCAATTGGGGGGCGGTAATTACCGAGAGGAAACCGAAGACCTGGGGGAGGGGGACCTGCTTCAGTGCCACTTCGCCCACTTGAAATCTGACTGAGCTTTCCTGGTTCGTAACAGTGGATTTGTATCTGCCATGAATGAACATCAGGGCCAACGAGGCGTACAAAATCACAAAGAAATTATGTGTACTCCAAACTGGAGTACTCCCCATTGTTGTTTTCCTCTGAGTTCACGCGATCAGCACCCACAAGCTGTCCTTTGGGGCAGACGTTCTTAGCCACTTTCCCATTGTAATGTGACTAAACGCAGAGCACCCGAACAAACCTTCCTCCTTATAAAGAAACCATTTCACCCCTCAACTTCTCTGTATAAACTCCAGATATCTATGAAGTAGCTAACTATTCCGTTTTGTTGTTAAGGAAAAATACTTTTCTTCCTTTGCTAGAGTGTTAAAAGGGAAATTCTTACCTGTATTTAGTCGTGCCTTGTGGATGAAGCCGGACGCTCCAAAGAGACGCTCAGCTGCCAGTATCTAATACGATGAGGCGTGATGTTGAAGAAAATACAAAGCTACAGATGTAGGGTGTTGTTAAACGTACTTCAAAAGTTCAAAAATTTACAGCCCGGGTGTTGCTGAAGACAGGAATTTGAAACACGAATAAAAAATTTGTATACATATTTCAGAAGTTAGATTACAATGATTCGTGAATTGCCCCTTTCGCATCAAACCAAATGATACGAGACATATTTTATGTCGTGTAAATGTACAGGACTACAAAACACTAAAATTGTTTAATCACTTTTGAGCGAGTTTATTTAGTTAGGAAAATAGATTTAAGAATTTAAATAGTAATTAAAGAAAGACGTAACAGCGTACGAAACAAATTAACAGAGCGTCAATGCTTCTTGCGTTGACCGAGCAGAAGCAGTGAACGAGTAACCATTCCAATCCTTCAGCCCATTGGTTTCGTTGCGGTCCTATGCCACATAATGCCCCAGCTGAAGAAAGATTTGTGATGGTTTTTAGTTTCGACGGCTGTGAGCTCTTGGGGACACTAGCAGCAGCAGCAGTAGCCCATGAATGCATACTCTCCCCCTCCCTTCCCCCTTTTAGAAATATCCTTCTTCGTCTTTCTTTTGAGACCTGAAGCAGGTTAAGATGAAGGGATGGGGGCAAACCTCTCTCATTGAAGAAGTCCATTATTTCCAAGTTTAACGTTTACCTCGGCTGCCACAGCCTCAACTAGCGAGAGCCATTGCCATGACGACCCTCTGAAGCGGATAGAAGAACACTAATAGTGTGATTGATGTTCATTTCTTTTATACACACGCTTTTTCTCCTTCCATTCAGAGGACCGTACCTTGGTCCTTTCACTGAACGAAATGCCGAGTGTGACGGCATTTCCGTGGTGTTTCGTGGGCTACTTGTAACTTCGTACAAAACACAAGGAAAAAAAAACAATATGCAATAGTTTCAGTGTCGAGGTTTACTTCCTACACTTCTCAGTTGATTTAATGATTATGAATTGAAAAGCATGAGCAAACAGTCGTTGTGTTTGTTAGACACGCGGAGAAGAATTGCAAGAATGCAGTGACGAAAGTCTGTTATCTGACTGAATTTCGAACCTGGGATTTCCAGAATGTGAAGCAGGATTCCCAACAGCTACGACCCCCGCGTTCGTTTTACGTCTTGTAGTTTCTGTTGTTCCAGTTATGTGTGTCGAAAAATTAAGGTTCGTACAGGAAGGTAAACAAATTCATCGCTATGTTTACAAGTAAGATGATAAAAATATTTTCTCTTTAAGTTGGATTTCAATGGTCTGTATGCTTATTTCACTCTCAATGGCTTTCTTTTATGTCTGTTTAGCCGCCAGGATCCGGAGGATAAAGACTTATGAAAAGAGGCAGTGACAATGAGTAATACTTGAGTGCTTAGAGGGGAAAGGGGGGATTTCAAGAAGTTTTTTTTACACCTGGCGTTCGAAAGGCGTTTTAGTAAGGATGTTTATATATGGGATTTCTTATGTCAGTTTTACAGAGCTTTCATAATTCAGAGACTGTGAGTTATATATAGAAGCACTCGTGGTCCATGATATTTCAGTCATTTAAGTAGCATGTTACTTACTGAACGGCCGGATTGCTTCTTTATTTATGTTTATGATATTCTAATTAGATACACGCTTAATGTTGCAAAGCCAACCACACTACAGATTCCACACTGCACAAAATCTGGTAATAAGTTGTTTGCCTGCATTTCGTTAATTGTTTTTACAATCGAAAATGTGTCAAATGAAAGCTCCTAGATCTTATATACTTATTCGTGGTTAATGTAACGATGCTGTCCGTAGCTCAGGCAATTGGCTTATAGCGTGGAATGATAGAATGATTAATGAATTGGAAAGGATATGGCAGAAAGCGATCTAGATGTAATTTAAGGTGTTATCTCAGCGTTTGCCTGGAGGGACTGAGGAGAACCACAAAAACCGAAGTCACTATAGCTTGTCTACGGGCCGAGATTTGAACCCGTAACCTTCTAAATACAAAACAGGATTGTTGATCAGTCGGCCGCGACGTTCAGTGGCCGGGGTTCAATATCCGTATGAGTGTTCAGGTTTTATCTCTTCTGCTACATTCAGAAGAGTTTATATTATGAAGCTCCTTATCATGAAGATTCCTCCAGTCTGCTGTTGCTTATTACTGTGTCCGTCAGTAGGCTACTTTGTCATCAAACTTGGTTTTGGTGTATAAATTACTTCAGCTTCTTGTTTATTACGAGAATAGAGGAATATATTCACTGTGTATGGAAATCGTGTTTAAGTCCGTAACAGTGAAGCTGTTATAATCGAATGAACTTGAATGATAAACGACTTATGCCTGTGAGTTGATTTAACTGTGACGCCGATTAATTCAATACAATGAACATTTTAAAGATGATAATGTGAGAACTATTAACTGGACGCGACTGTACCGTGCTATACGTTTGGTGCTGGGGGAAAGAGCTACTTAAATAGACGATGACGCTGCATCGCCCTTTCATACTCAAAGATGCCTCGTTCAGTTAATAAGAACAATAATAATAACAGCAACAGAACGGATGGTATCACAAAGAGGGATTAGGCAAGGTTCGTTTCTCTTAGTAACATTAACAAATACATGTACGCCGATGACTAATTTATCATGAGAAATAGGCCTACTGTACAATCTTGCAGAGTTAAGAACGCCCGTGTCATGGATCGTTCGTAAATCGATGTTTGTTTTAATATAGTCCCAGTTCTGTGAGTAATTAATTAAATCCAGCAACCCATTCAGAAATAAAAGTAGATTAGTTTGTTGGTTGTGGTAAATAAAACTAGTGGAATCAAATAGCTAAAATATAAAGTGAATCTACAAGAAGAAGATTTCTGTCTTCTGGGATGATACGCTGTACATAATCTCGTAGAAACTGACCTACGTTTCAGAAGTGCTTACTGCCTCCATCATCAAGACTGTCGAAGCCTTGTATTAGATCTATGTTTTATGTTATGAATTTTTTACGAGGCGTGTTTGGAAACATTTTCAAATGTTGTTTGAGTTTTATGTACTGGTAGACCCAAAATACTGTACAGTAAACATATGAAGCTTGATTAAATCTGTCCAACTAATTTTAGTGTAGGTCGCCAGTGGCAGATTTAATTAAAACACGTTTAGTAATCTCGGATATTAAACGTGATGAACGACTAGCGGAAAGGCTGATGGTCGGACATGATTTCCCCAATGTGCATTTATTTTGTGCACTTTGTGCGGAGATTGCATAAAAAGAGACGATAAATAACCGAAGAATCGATCGATCGATGACGGCGATGTGTTGTTTCTGTTGCAGGCGAGAAGCCGTTCAAATGTGAGTTCGAGGGCTGCGACCGGCGGTTTGCGAACAGCTCAGACCGGAAGAAGCATTCACACGTTCACACTTCGGACAAGCCATACAACTGCCGCGTGTCAGGGTGCGACAAGAGCTACACGCATCCTAGCTCGCTGCGGAAACACATGAAAGTCCACGGCTGTGGGGCCGGTTCCGCCGGCAAGAGTCCACCTCCAGGCTACGACAGCGACGGGAGCGACTCCAACAGCTCATCAGCGGCGTCCATCAGCGTCTCGGCAACAGGTGGCGGGTCTGCTGGAGCGGGCACCACGTCTCCAGATCAGCACAGCCATCACCACCATCACCACTCCAACAACCCCTCAGCCAACACGGCCTCCTCCATCCACCAGCAACACAATCCCCTGAGCTCGTCGATATCCCACCAACAGTCCGCACCCGGGACTACCAACCTTTCCGAATGGTATGTCTGTCA